ACACACACACTTATGTTAAATGTCCATAGTTGCCTCATACATAAACAAGTACATCCACCCACTCGTTCTCAGGGTCCAAAGCTCTCTCTGAGCTCGGCTTAGTGCTCCATCATAGAAACTGACTCACCGTGAAGGTTTATGAAACGGATGCAGCTTTCAACCACCACAGGAATCTGCTGCCCAGAGCTCTGGAGAGGGAGAGATGATTGGAGGATAGAAGAGTGTTACAGATGGAAGGAGAGTGGCAATAGAGATGCAAAGAAAGGTGAGGAAAAGGCTGACAGACAGTAGAAAATAGTATGCAAATGAAGATGCTGTGAGTGGAAAACCGAAAATAAACTGAATTTGTTAACTGGGGATTACCACTGAGCTTTTAAAAATCTATGTTTATGTTTTTTGGTTGATGCAAAGTGCAGGTGAAAAGTCACAACAAGAACAACACAAAATACATTTAACCCTGTGTGTTACTGCTGCTGGGCATACTGCTCATCTCAGATTAAGACTTCATATCACCACTGTCAGACAGCGCAGCTGTGCAACTTGTTGAGGCCAGAATATAGGACATGAAGAGTTATATAATAATGACTGGACAGTGTCTGTAAAACTACTTGCATCTCTCAAAATAATCCTTAAATTTTTAACTGTTAACTTCCTTCCAAGGTTGCAAAAGCTCCAAAACTCCCAGTAAGAAAAGCTACAGCCCTGGTCACTGGCAGCACAACGGCCTGCAGGGGTTCAGTACCTGTGTCCGAGACATTCTCCTCCTTCGTCTGCACCAAGCCAAGCACAGCACAATTGAGAAAAAAGCAGAGATTAGAAAAAGGGAAAGTGAGAAACGAGGGGTAATAAAGATTTAGAAGCATTGGGAAGAAGAGGCGCACATTAGCACAGACGTACAGACACCACACTCAATAGAGGAGTCGAGAGAGGAGGCAGCAAAGAGGCCAGTTCAGTTTTAATCCCTTTTACAAGAGGGGGAGAGATAAAAAGAAGGGAATGGACTGGAAGGAGAGAAAGCCAGCAATAAGCTGTAAGCATGACCATTCACATGAAAGCAGCAGTGAGAACTCTGGGGATGTGTGCCCCCATTCTTCAATATCAGTGTGACAGGATTTTCGGAACAATTTCCGTTGGAGGCTTGAACGGCAGCACAGTGCGGCGAGCAAATAAAGAGGCTGTGTTCCCTTTCGTTATTATTATCATTTGCATGTGTGTGCGTGAGAGAGCGTTACCTGTATGTAGGAGCGTATGTCTGTGGTGAAGAGTGTGTGGCAGAATTGGGAAACAGGTCTGGACTTCCGAATGCGCACTGACCGAGCACATTGCATTCTGGGAAATATAATAATAGATCAATTGCATGATGCCATTTCACATGTGGGTATTATTGCTTTAGATCTTCTAATGTTGCCTAATTGCTATGATCATTTACAATTTCAATATTTTAACCCCCACTCCTCCAAAGAAAAATCTAAAATTTAAAATTAAATCTCGTTTTATTGATCAATTAAAAATCTCAAATTGACACTGTGGTTTAAATTTGGTCTTTCCTCTTCATCTTGTCCTCTCTGCTCTCTCCATGTCTCTACGCCTCTCTCAATCATTGTCAGCCGTGTAAATACTTTGTTTACCTGGAAGGGTCACTGTCGACAGCCTCCGCTGGTGGAAAGAGACAGAAAAACAAGTGAAATAGTTACGTTTGGTTGAGGGCTGTGTTGCAGGGAATGTTCAGCAACGTTAAAGGAGAACTTCACTGATATTTCACATTCTTATGGATGTGGGCGCCGCCCCCTCTCCCTCATGTGTTTAATCTGTCTGTTGAGATGTCAAACAGGATGTGTGGAAGTTCACAGCGGATTGGACACCGCCTAGAGACCTGTCTGGAGGTGCAGTCTCTGTCCAGCCTGCTGTCAGACCTGATTGAAGCAGCTCCCAGTCGGGCTCTTCAATCAGGATCTTCAAACAAGGCATTCAGGGCCGCTGATCTATGCAGCTCGTCAGCAGGCTTAGACAGAGATATTTGTTAACTAATTTGTGATCGAGCTTGATACAAATCAAGTGTGAAAGTCGATTTGTGGACTGGTCCAGGTTTAGTTAACAGCACACACAGGGTGTGTGTGGATGCAATCGTTTGTATTTAATTACTACAAACTTCATTATAATAAATTGCCTTTAATTTGACAAATAACTGGTTTTATGTTGCTTCCAACCCCTGATGAACTGGGTCATAACAAACATGAAACTCTGTGTGCAGCTTTCTGGAACTACCGTTGCATTTGTTAAAAAAAAACCTTGTGTGCATCCAGAGGAAGCTGTGTGAAGTCCTAAATGTGAATAATAATGATCAGTCCTTATCTCTGGTTGAGGCAGGTGACTCGAGGCACTAGGTTTTGACAAGGAAGAAGAATTAGTGGAAATAAATAAAGTCAAAATATCTGGTTCAGTTGTATTCATTTTGATCCTTTTTTGTAAATGTCACACTGTGAGTCGGACAATATCAGGTTATTATTAAATAAGTAAAGTGATCTTTTCAACTTTGGACAGTAGTCAGTCTTACAAGTGGCATCATTTGTAAAAGTGCACTGAATCTCTTCGCGATTCAACCAGTGACAGTATAATGGTGCGTGTATGCATTACAGGAAACAGTCTTACCCATCCTCTGACACTACCTTTCTGTATGGCATCTTGTAGAAGGTCATGTTTGGCTTGAAGTTTGGAGGTCAGAGAACTGCTGGTGAGGAACTCCTTCACTTTCTAAGATTAAAAAAAAACAACAACATACAAATGCTGTATATATTAAATAAATCAATAACAATTGGATCCTTGTGCAGAGGGAGAAGCTCCTGAGCTCATTCAAATTCTCCTCAGGAAACCCGGAACAATGACATTACTTCACTATGGCTAAAAGCATAATAAAAGAGATCATTTATACTCAGTTAAAAGAGTATTTTATTCTATTAACTGAATCATTTCAGAGATGGGCAGTACTGGCCCTGATCAGACCTGAGATTGAGAGATCCAATCAAAAGTGTTCAGCTTTAATTCGTCTGCTCACCCCTGGCAAAAAAATCCGCCCTGAATGAGTCTCCTGAGACCACTTCTGATTGGATCTCACCTCCCTGCACTATTGCAAATTAAAACGTACGTCTTTTGCGTTCTTGAAGACCAAATGATATTGCTTTTACCCAATCTGACTTTACGGTTGTGTCCAAAGGCAAAGCTTGTCTGTGTGTCGGCATGAGAGTTAGAGAGAGAGAGAGAAAGACAGAGAGAAAGAGAGTGAGCGTTGTCAGGTGGGGCTGAATGAACGAATGAGCTGCGGGTAGACCTACTAATAATAATGATTTTACCCATTTGAAAAAACATAGAACAAGCGTAAAAATATGTTCCTTCATTTGTGTTCACACAAGAAGAATGTGGCCACGTGCGTCCCGGCCCACCCCTGAATGTGGTCCAAGTGAGCAGATCTCAGGATCACGCATTCTGGTGTGTTCAGACCTGTACTTTACGCTCACCACTTGTTACTGGATCTCTCAGGATGAATGCTGAGAGTCGGAACAGTTTACTGACAGTATATCAGACTAAGACAAGCACTGACCAGCCTCAAGCATTAACTCACTGTAAAATAGTAGGTCTCTGTCTCCTGCTGATTGGCTCGACGCTTGGCTAGGGTAAGTTTTGGGGCTGTGCTTCCACCGGGGGGCTCGTTTGATAGGCTGCTGGGCACATCGGGGGAGGGGTTACAGTCGCTGTCACATATACAGTCCAGCAGGGCCGTGAGCGTGGCTTTAAGTGTTTTACTGATCTGAGAAGGAGAAACACATTTTTTTGATTCAGTAAATTCAGATATTTTCTCAAATCATGTTTTTTTATTTTATTTTGGTGGTAATTATTCGCTGACCTCCTCTGTTTCCAAGGTAACAGCAGCAAGCCGAGACTGAAGCTGCTGGAATCTGGTCTCCAGCTCGTACCTCACCTGGCTCTCCGCACTCACCTCACACACCTAAAATGCACAAATGAAACATGAAGCAATTTTAACATTCAAAGTATCTGATGGGAGGGGAACAGGGTGTCATTCTTCATAATCTGATTCTTTCAGAGGCTGGAGGACACGGTGAAAATATTTTTTTATTTATTCACTAAACCCCATTTGTCAAGCTTGTCAATATTCCCCTGTAAACAGTGGCAGATTTAACATCCCAAAAAACTTAATTTCACTTTGATGTGAAAGTCTTTGATGATGATATGGAGATTTTTTTCTTCTCTTTATTCAGTAGTATGGTCTTTCCATTTAGGAGCAGTACTTATTTATTTCATGTTCAGATTTAAGATTATGAACTAGCTCTCTCCAACTTCCGTCCATGCTGGACTTGAACCGGCAACCCTCCGGTTCCCAAGCCAAGTCGCTATGGACTGCTTTTTTGTAATGCTCTCAAATATACTCATATTACATTTTCTGCTCTCCAGCATTAACTCTTAAAGGTCCAGTGTGTAAGATTTAGGTGAAAGGGATCTATTGGCAGATATTTAATGTAGAATAATCCTCATGATGTTTTCACTAGTTAATTTCATCTAAATTGTATGAAATGTAGTTTTACCCCAGAAAAGACCCTTTATATTTAAATACTTTATATTTACATCGAGGGGACCCTCTCTACGGAGGCCGCCATGTTTTTTACATTAGTCCAGACTGGACAAACTAAACACCTTTTGACCTGAAATGAAGTCTACCACAGGTTATTTTTCATGTTTGGAAGGAGAGGGTGAGGTGAAGGGTGTTCAGCTGCAACATGCAACTTCACCACTAGATATCACTAAATTCTACACACTGAACCTTTAACTCATCTTTAATGCTCCGTTGCTCTTGAATTTTTTTGAATTTAATTGTGTGTACTTATAAGTTCTGTTTTTGTGTACTTATATGTTCTGTATACTTAGATGTTATACCAGGGATCAGAGACAAACAGCATTTCAATCCTGTCTATGTCCTGTATGACAGTATTGACTATAAAGTTGACGTGTTTGCCTAAACAGTGGGTGCAATATCTTTGAATGTCAAAGCGTTACTCCCATGAGCAAAGTGTTTTCACCTGGTCTCCCTCGTGTGGGTGGTAGTTGAATCTGAATGGGAGACAGAAGGCGGAGTCATGTTGCTGTAGTAACGCATCTCTGTCTCCACCCTGGTCCAGGGATGTCACAGCTGCCTCTAACTGCTTCAGCCCCGTCTCCTCGGTCTTCTGGATGCGCCACCTGCTGGCCAGGTAGCACTTCATCACTCTCTCCACAGCCAGATGGAAACCCAGGTCGCAGCACTGCCAAAATGGAAAGAGGAAAAAGAGGATGGAAGGAAGGAGAGGTGTGCATGCAGTCATGGAGTAGGAGAGATATGGAAAATATAGGGAAGGCGAGGGAAAGTAAAAACACATGATGTGGTGTGGGAGTAAAGAAGGGAGGGAGAGAGGGGGCTTTTATTCTTTGTCAGGGAGTCTTTGAGAAATCAATACTGTTCCAGTCTTACCCCTGTAAAATCTTAAGATTTTCTTCAGGAAATAACAAGAAAGAGCGACAAAAAAAGCTAACTCAGAACTGAACAGTTTTCTTTTCATAAACACACAATCGTAAGTCAAATTACATGTTTCTTACATCTATGAGAGTGCTGACGTCCTGCAGGTAGTATTTGTTCATGGCTGCATTGGCTGCTGCGAGATTCAGAAGGTAGTCATTACGAGCCTTGGTACACTTCAGCTGGGTCTCCTGCACTCGGCCATGCCTCTGCATGCGCGCACACACACACACACACACACACACACACACACACACACACACACACACACACACACACACACACACACACACACAAAGTAAGACAACATGACATAATTCAAACACAGAACCATGTGTTGATTTGAGACAATATTACAATATTATGTGCCCATGGCTAGTTACACATTCATTAACATATGTGTGAATAGGAGGCATTTTCACCACTCTGACAAATCAACAGGAAATGGTAGGTTATTCTGTGCAAAACTGACTTCCTGTCACCCGCTCTTTCTCAGGCACACACAAATGTGTACTCACCTTCTCCATTAATCTCTCCATCTTCTTGACAGAGCTCCGCCTCTGTCCTCCTGATTGGCCAAGGCCGAACTCGGCCGACTTGCCCGTGTGTCTCTCCTCCAACCGCTCGGCTTCCTTCAACTTCCCCTCAGCAATCAGACAGTCAGTGTGGTACTGGTTATACGTCTTCAGAGCCTTTTATCAGCACACGGGTCACAGATAGCACAAACTCCACATCAGCATTACTGTCACTGCATTATTATTGAATTTGAAAACAGTTGATAGAGGATAATAAAATAAAGCACTCACCGTCTGGAGTTCAGTTGTGACCTTAAGCAACTCATCCTGCATCTGGATTCCCACTTCTTTGCTCTGACATTTACAAAAGTTAATGTTAGCCAAAAATATTGTACGCTTGAAATTTTAAGGAATAGTTTGACGCTTTGTAGAAAAATACTTATTAACTTTCTTGCTGAGAGTTAAGTGAGAAGATCACTTCCAATTCAGTGCCGTCTCTGCCTCCCAACAAAATGAAAATTCAGAGGAAACCGCTTATTGTGATCACTTTTGTCCCGGTTGATTACTATAAACACTGTATAATAGTCCCAGAACTTGAGAGCAGAAAGACATTTATTTTTCCGCTACAAAAACAATGTTCAAGCTATTATAGTTTTTATTTTAGATTCAATCCAAAGCTTGGCAAGAAAGCAAATAAGCATATTTCGTAATATGGGAACTTTTGTCCTGATATTTTTCAAGAAAGAGTTTCTTGTGTAAAATAACATTGCTTAACCATCATCATTTATTTTGCTAATTTGAATGATTATACAGCAATACTTTCATGGTCATTATAACGCATTCAGTATTGTGCCATCAGTGATTTTAGAGAAACTACAAAAACTGTAGAGGCTATATTAGAATTCTGCTCACTCTTCTCCTCTGAGAAAATTCAACGTCTGACATCTAGTTGTTGAGTAAGATTGTTTTAAAATGAATAAGAGCAACTGCTGCTGTGGCACAGAGAAAGATAACAGCAGAAACACATGATTTAAATGAAGAGTTTCATTGTGTTCAGTATGTGTCAACTTTAAGAGCTTGATTGGTGAGTGCGCTCATCTTTCAAGGTTGCCAACTAACAACTGGATTCATATAAATATTTTGTTGTATCACAAAATGAAACTGGCAACTCTGAATTTTTTATGAAATGATGAAGGTCATAAAGTCTTATTTTTCAGTTCATAGAAAACTGCCACAGGATTATTTGTGTTGACTCTCATGAGCAACACAAGTAAACAGCCCACAAATATTCGCCTGCACTGGTTGAAGTGCCTCCAGTGGTTGCATTGTACCTGTTGGAAATGACAGAGGCCGGCGCCATTGAGTGTCTCTGGAACTTTACTCGCTTTCAAATATTTCAGTGCAAGCATTTCATTTTTGGAATTTCGTGTATCTACAGTGACGTGCCATTCGCATCATTCATAATGCTCAGCACTAGAGACAAGAAACGTGTGTCTTTGCACTGACTTGATTTACGTTTGGTGTGAACTCAGCACCCAATTTGCATTCATTTTCTTGCACTGATGTATTTTCAAGTGCAAATTTGGTTTTAGTTAGTATTTGATTCTATAAAAAAGGGCTCATGATTAATAGCTGAGAATGACTCACGATTGGTCGAGCACATGTATCGACAGGACCTTCCTGCTGCAGTTCTCTCCTCCAATCGCTCCAAATGTGCAAGATGACATGGATTGTATCGGGGACGTTTTTATACCTCGACAGCGATGTTCACCTAATACAGTAAACAAGTTTTCCCTCTGAGCTGATGTGTGCTAACTATGCTAACGTCGCATTGGAAAGACACTAATGAAAGACAGAGATCATATCATATATATTTTACCCACAGAGAGCAGAATAAATGTGAGGAGCGTTCATTCTGCAGGGACTGAATGCATGACACTGCATTCTGACAAGAAGAAAAAAGAAATGGTCGATTTGTTCGAGAATCGACTGAAGGGAGGTCTACCAGAGTCCCTGTTGTTGTCACTCTGGATCAGAAAACAAGCTGCTTCAAACTACATCAACACACTACACAGTCAGTGATGTTACAAAAGGAGGATGACAGGAAGATGTGATCCTAGGATAGGAATGAAAAGAGGAAGTGTGTATACATACATTATACACACTTACTGTATACACACACTGAAATACTTACCAGCAAAACTACTGTACTATCTGTACCTGTGTGTTTGTTTCCACAGGCATGTGTCTTTACACACTCACCTTCTTGTGCAGACGGTGTGTGTCCTCCGTACTGTGTACCAGTCTCTGTGTGAGCGTGTTGCAGCAGGTGTCACTCAGTGCTGCATGTTCCCGACTCTCCAGACGAGTCTGAGTCAGCAAAACAGACCAGACCTGACACACAGACTGACCCCACTGCTCCTTCCTGGAGAACAAAACAAACCTCACTGAGACACTGCAACACTTCACAATCACACAGGAGAGAGGAAAAACATTTACTTCTTAGTCTTGTGGGTGAATCTCTCTGTGAGTTTGTCGAGGGCGCGTGCATATTCGGCCTCTATGTCGCCTCGGCGCCGGAGAAACTCGGAGAGGTCTGAGAGCTGCTGCTGCTTCACCTCCACCTGAGAGTCTAAAATCTTGATCTGGTCTGTCAGCTGGGCCCGGAGGTCTGAAACACACAGAGTGACAGAGACGGACAGAGAGGAAGACAGAGAGGAAACGGAAGAAAATAAATAAATGTTTGAACCTGAACACACATGAAAACAGAGAGGGACATAAGAATACACATGCATAGATGGACATAACCATCAGATGTTATTTCTGTTTGCAAGATGTGAACTCAGAACTTTCTAAGTTGAAGGTTTTATTTGTCATATTGAAGTTAACACAGGGTCAACGGCACTATGAAAAGAGTTGGACGAGAAGGAGAGGTCAGCTCAGCAATGTCATGAGAAAGGAAAGTGGGAAAACGTGAGAGGAACATTTTAAGCAAAGATAAGATAAGATAGACTTTATTAATACAGAAAGAATGTTTGTGCAGTTTGCTCCAGACTACAGTAAAACAATATTCAGTGGAATACAGAGAATAAACTATTAAGTCTAAACATTATAAGTGAAAATAAAAATATAAAGTGTATACAGATTAATTTAAAGAAGTAATTTTAATACATATAAAGGAAGTAAAAGCTAAATTTAAATAATCAAAAACCTTGGAGGATGCAAGTGTTAAACCAAAGTATATACTGTTCATACAGTATCAGTTATTGTACTTTTTCCAGAGGTAAGTAAACAAACAGGTAGGTAGCAGATATGCACAGGATTGTTGGATGTGAATTAGGAGTCCGGTGGCCTGGTGATAAAAATTACATTTATTGTAATTTATCACATTCATCTCTTCAATGAAGGTCCCCTCGCCATCCACACTTAGTGACAGCGCCAATAAAAGAGATTCATACAGTTTTGCAGAAGTCATCTTCACAGTTTAAAGTGAAGATAAACCATCTTTATCACTTCAATTAAAAGCAGTAGAGTCTGGAATAGTGTCAAACTCTCTGCTCTAAATAACATCATCATTTGGTGCATTATAATTACAAAATACATACACAGATAATATTTTACTCTCCAGACTTCACATCAATTCAAGTTGTTGGCATCCTCACAGAGCAAATGACCTTCCAGTGGTTACATTCACACTGGAATACCAAGAGGTTTTGGTGATAAAAAGGATATAGATATTATTATACAGTCGGAAAGATTATTTTCCACTGTTCTACTGCGAAATTATGATAAAATTATGTTGTACCACTCCACTCACTCAACTTGCACTTGTGCACTCGAGCATTGACTGCGTTTAGACTCTGAAGTTGGAAATACATTTTTGAGATCAATTATGTGCAATGACAGGCTCTTGCATGTAAAGTGTTAACGTGACAATAAAAGTAAATCTTGTGTGCACCGACCATAACGTCCATAACGTGCACTCTGCTTTCATGGATTTTACATCAATTCAAACTTGATGTGTTGCGATAACTTTACTTTACTTGTGCAACGGGGCCCGGAAATAATGGAGATGTGAAACAGGAAGTACCACAGGTGGGGGCAGGAAGTAACAACGATAGAAGCAGTGTTGTGCATGAACACTCATTGAGCTGAACGAATCAGTTTACAAATGAGTGACCTTCACTCCAGCATGAGTTTGAAGGTTAATTTTTTTATATCATCATCATATCAGGCCATCAAGTGAAATACCAGGAGCGAGAGAAAATGTGTGTGTGTGTGTGTGTGTGTGTGTGTGTGTGCTCCCAGAGAGCACACACGTGACACACAGTCAGGACTCAGTGTTAAAGGGACCGGAGCGACACGCAGACATGATCTGACACCAACGATTAATCAAAATCATCCCAATAAAAAAATGGAACAAATGAACGCAAACTACTTCATTTTTAGAAGCACGAACTTCGTTCAAAATTAAAAAATATGAACTATGAACTAATTAATTTTCATCTGCATGAACTGAACTTTGAACAAGTGTGAACTTGCACAACACTGAATAGAAGGGTCCGTAAATTGTGGTCATTGGACAACCCATAACATTTCAATGTAATGTCACACCATCACAATAATCCGATTCAAAATACATTGTTGCACCATTAAAAAAAGAAGCTATCCAATTCTAAATGTATAGTGACGCTATTAAAAAAGAACCAATCAGATTATACAGTGTATGCACACATGTATAAGTATACAAACTAACCATGGTTTTTGGAAATGATATGTCCGAGTCAGGATGTGTGTACGGCTCATTGAGGAGCAGTTCATTCACACAGTAACTGAACTACTTACATCTGATCCAATTATCAAATATTTAACAACGTTATTTCTAATCACAAATTTGATTAGAAAAATCTCCCTTACTCCAAGAATTAATTAAATGCAGTCCATTTGTGGGAGTGATGGATTGTGTTGAGTAATGTGGCACATGTGTGGATTATTACAGAATGATATAAAAACACATATACTGTATATATATAGTATAACACATGACACAAACAAATCCTTGTAAACACCAAAACAGTTTGATTTGAAAAACCTACTACAAACACCACACTCCCAAATAAAACCGCCTTCTCCCTGCTCTCTCACCTCTCTCTTTTTGTTTTATTTTCATACCCATTCTCAGCTTCTTTATTCCTCCCCCTCTCCTCTACCAAACAGCTCAGCCCATTCCATATCTCCCTTCTTTACTCTTTTTCTCCGTCTCTGTGTGAGTACACTGCCCTGGGCTGACTGGATGTGAGGAGACAGCTTTGCTAATACTGACTATAAATACACCCTTGTAGTACAGTACAGAGAGGCAGCCCGCCACAGCCTGCACACTCCATAACACTGCACATGATACACACACACACACACACACACACACACACACACACACACACACACACACACACACACACACACACACAGAGATATCTATTGTCATGTAAAACCCTTGGAATGCCATTACTGGTCATATGTCCATACTTTGATTAAAGTCTCATTGACTGAAAAGATTTTCTGACCTATCGACAGAGGGAAACTCTTTCCATGCTGGCATCGTGTTGCAGGCAGAGGTGATTCTATCAGGTCCTGACAACGTTGGAATTTTTCAGCACATATGTGAACACACAAATGCATTCAGACAGAGAGAGAGTGTACGGCTGGATGACTGTGCTAAGCAACTGCAAACATTCACGCATGAATGCACATGCTCTGCTGTCTTACATGCATTGTACACACAAGTAAGTGCACACACATAGGGAGGTGTGATAAAGGGCTTAGACACACGCACACACACGCACGCACGCACACACACACAGTGACTTACCTTTCATCTGCAATTCATACTCGGCCAGACTCCCCTTCTCCCTCCTCAGCTTTCCATGTGATGTCATCATCTTTGACCCCTTGACTCTCGTCTGTCACTGAGACTTTACTTCCTGAACCCTGATTCTTCTTGTATCCCAGTGGTATCCCCTTCTGATGCCCTTCAACCTCAGCGTCCGCTCTGGCTCTGCAGTCTTTGACCTTTCACCCCTGACCCCTTGGCCTTGCTGCTCTACAGATGCACGCAGCGCATCGGCATCAGTGTCGATCGGCCGCACTCGGCAGGGATGTCAGTTGGGTCGATGTGTGTCCATGGAATCCCCTGGCTTTCTGGTATGAATGCTGATCCATAGGTGAACTGGCCTGTGCAGCAGACAATGGAAAAAAAGAGCAAAGAGTAAGATAATGGTGAGAGAGGAAATGGATGACAGGATCAGAGGAAGAAAGAGCCAGAAGAAGAGGACAAACGAGGCCAGAGCAATGAGACAGATAGGGACGGTGACACCAGAAGGGAAATTTAATAGGAGGGACAGTGAGTTGGAGGCAGAGCGCAGAATGGACAGTAAGAGGCCAGAGTGATGGGGAGGTGAGAGGAGAGCGATGAAGGATGGGGGATGGGAAGATGAGAGGTGATGAGTAACAGCAGTAATGAAGGACATTCAGTGCCTTGAGGTCGGGGGTTGGGGATGTCTATATAGGTAATGGTCACATACACAAGCAAACATCTCCAATATCTTTTTTTAAACACACTGTGAAAGACTCACAGCACGATGTATTAAACGCTGTGACGAACCATCACAATGACCTGTGATCTAATTTCTGTCACCACTCAAAGCGTGCTGATGCATTAGTTATTTCTCACAGCTGCTTAGTGTGTAACCTTTACTGTTTACACATGCTAAAGGAGAACGCCAACGATTATGCACAACAAATTCAGTAAACCTGAATGAGAAGTATGATTCAGTTGGTACTGCTCTTCAATCAAAAGTGAAACAAGTGCTGCAGGACCAGTTTGCTTTTCCATGTGCTAGAGTCGCCTTAGAACCACATCATTATATCATTGTCTACATCTCTGATTTCCATGTCCCAATTCACCCCTCTCGTTTTGTCTCTTTTCTCTATGTAATGTAGGGGTAGTGGCCCTCTAGCAATTCAAATACCCCTTCAACTGTAGTGAATTCAGGACCTCTCTACAAACGAAGGGGTAGACGTAAATTCTCTAATGCTTTACGAATGGACAAACAAATCAACGTGGCAACCGCTGCGGATAAAATGCTCATTAATGTAAGTATGAAATCTTGCAAGATAACCATGAAATGTATTTTAAATTCGGCTGAATATTTTATTTGAATCCAGTCGCAAATGAAAATATATTTGAATCACTGTGACAAGCATTCCAGGGAAATCTCGATTCATGGCATCAAAACATTAATGTAAAACAGTCTGAGTGAGAGTAACTAGTGATGCTCTTTGCCTCCCATGTATGAGGATTGAAAAATAAACTTCTCTGCTCATGTTATAAAGTTTTCAGTGGGGGGCAGAAGAGTCTATGGATAGGACTTATGTTGGTTGATAACAGTTGCTAATATGATAACATTAGTTAATATTGTTTGTCACTGTGATATTGTTGGTTGGCTGCTGATGACGTAGTGAGTGGAGTCCCAATTCCAAGGGAACATTTTTTTTGCTCTACTCCTTGTGTGTCACTTTGAGTGTTAGACATGCTCAATGAGTCGGTTGTATTTGCATTATCTTATAATTTCACTGAAACAGAAATAATGCATAATTCATCTGAAATTGACCTAGAAGTTAAAATTATATTCACTTAAGCAGCAGATGCACTGTGGTTTACCTAATCTTTTACCACGAACATAACAGCATTTTGACATCTGACTTAGTTCTTGTCTAGTCTTGTACCTTTGACGATGAACGTCAGAAGTAGATGTTTTCTAAGAACTAGATGTCTATTATTAAGTCAGATGCTTATCGACTTTTAGAGGCCGTGTGACTGCGCACTAAGTCATATGTGCAAGCGGATGAGAAATAACAGAAAGAGCTTTAGTTTCCAATAAGTTCTGAGGTCAATGAGAATGAGCTTAACACAAAGGCACACAAGGTCAATGCTATTGCTGTTAGCTTACTGCTAACAGTACCGAGTTACTGTCAACCTAATGCTTTTGAAACAAGCACATTTACTGGATAAAATATGAACAATCAAATAGTCAATGGTTCGCATTACATGCTCATAACACAAGTCATCATCATTTTATCTGCCATAATGACTGAAATATTCTTCTTTTTATTATTTTCAACTTTCAACCAAACCTGGCAATGCCGTCTTTAAAACGTCTTTTTAACAATTTGCTGGGTGGGTTCTGAACACACAATCAAGATTCAATTGGGAGGTTGTACTGGAACAAAGTCCAACTAAGGACAAAAATCCAGATATCTCAGCCTCTGCTCTGTTAATTTCTCAGTGTAATCTTTAAGTACTCCTCCTTCAACTTTACAAATATTTTGATATAGATTACTAATCGTGTTTCATGCTGATAAGGAGAACTTATGAAGACATATTTGAACACTGATAATACATTTCTGCACTGCTGCAGTAGAGACAGAGCAGCCTGTTAGCCTGCATCTAAAATGTTTAGCTCTTTAAAACTGACACTGCATGCACACAACTGACTGCTTACGTTGCATTAGACACAGGAATATGCATGGTACTGAGATGAGACACAAATATCATATCCTGCTTTTAACAGGAAGACAAGCTCTCTCTCTCACACACACACACACACACACACACACACACACACACTTCACTTTCCACATCCTGCATCAGTTTCTCAAGAGGTTTCTGGACTTTTTCAAAGTGTCTGACTGCAAACAAAATTAACTGAAGCAAAATATGACCACAAAAAACCATAAAGTGACTCATTGTGGCTTGTCATCATATTGAAGGACACATGGCCTTCCTCCTGCAAAGTACGATATTGTGGGAAAGCATTGTCAAAATAGAAAATATAGAAAAGGTCTGAAATGTTGCATGTCATACTCTGTTATCATAATCACTCACAACTTAACGTTTGCTCTTGGGCCAGTGCTTTCATTTCCCCCTGCAAATCCATGTGGTTGATGAGATCCAGACACACTGAAAGCATTGGTTTCAGACTGAACTTTCTGAGTGCATGCAGCGAACACACGCAGAGATTTCCACAAATGAGGCTGCAATGGTCCTCAAGACCTTGGAGGCTCCAAAGGCCTTAATCAGTTTGGAAAGTTAGTCTGCACAGGGCAAAACACATGATCTGAAAAGGGTTAGAAGAGATTCAGCAAAAGAAAAACACAAAAAGGGTCAGTGAGGGCAGAGGGATGGATGATATGGGGAACATACTTAAAATCAAGGTCATAGGAAGGAGGAAGTGGTGTGATGTATACGTGTAGTGAATATAAAGTAGGTTGAAGACAAGAGAGGATACATGTGTTGCAATGTGACAGATCCTTATTGCTACTGAGGGGATTTTCTGTTAATTTCTTCTTCTAAAAAAAAAAATGAAACGCTAAGCAGCAGTAACACAAGATACAAGAGGGACATTGTGTTTGATGTAGGGCTGATATTATACGGGGATTTCCTCACACTGCTGCGAGCCAACTGCACTCTGGAACATCGTTGCTGTAACTCTACAGAACATCTCGTGTCACATGTCTTGCAGCAATATACTATTTTTTCAGTTCTTACAGCTGTGTTGTCTTTCACCAGCTGCGTCTTCTCAAGATACAATCATCCCTCAGCCATGAGGATAAAGCCAAACCATTGCTAATGCAGTGTAAAATGTCAAAAAGAAAAAAACATGGGTGTCAACGGGACGCTCGGCCAGATGATCTCACATCCAGACACAGCTGACTTTTGGGAAATGTGTTTTTTTTTAGCTGAGATGTAATAGTGCACAGGGGCTGAAGTGTCGTCTCTATCGGTGCGCTGCGATCACAGATAAGGGTCGAAAACGATCCCATGCTAATCTGTGCTGTCAGCCGTGCTGCAGCTGCGTGTTCAGGTAGAGTCAGGTGAGACACTCAGTCTGTGTGACACACTGATTGGAGAGGCTCTTATGGACAGAGACATGATTGGGAGAAGACGGCGCTTGTTGAAATGTATTCGCTGCAGGAGGGAGCTGTCAGACAAACATTGTGTGGAATAAAACAGCTTTCTTTAGCAAAGTCTATTTGTCGCAGTGTAAGTGAGTACAAAATGGCTTTAAACTGTGAAACATGATACGAGAAAAGCAAAGGAGAGGGATTCATGCTGTATGTGCAGCATGTTACTGAGTGGGTTGTAGGTGTATGCACTGACATTATGTTTAATGGAACTAATGAACAGGAGCTGTGCTGTCAGCTCACAGACCAGTGTGCTTGGGTGGTCATGTGATATGGGTTTTCTGGCTTGTTACTATAAACGGGGAGTAAAACTGATACAGAGCCAAAACATTTGTCTTTTTAGTGTGAAAACACAATTTTTTAAGAAAATGTAGTAATATGGATGCAGCTTTAGAATAAAAGATCCTGGTCACTGTCATTTCTTTTCTTTTATTCTTTTAAATGTGTTACCTGGATGGACACACAGTGTCTGGATACTTTGGTCCCTATACTCAAAGGTCACTTCATTGATTTTGCACATCAAAGGTAGAGTCAGTAAGTTGTTTCTGCAACTGTTTTTTATCTCCTTTGTTGAAATCCTCTTCACGTCCCGACAGCTATCAGAGTTGTCTGAGAAAATAAAGCCATTGTCTGTGGTATCACCGGACTGTACTTAAACATGACTAATCATTCCAATCGGACCAAATCCAAAAGAAATGACTCGCTGTCATACCTGTCGGTCAGTACCCGACATGCCTGACAACATCCATGGGCAATGAAAACGCTGGCCCAAAATGAAAACATCTAATCTCTAACACTTGTTTTTTTTTTTATCTTCTCAAAAGCTGTCACCTGCTTGTATGTATGTTACCAAACTGACTTTAGGCCATATTGATGGAAACATAATGCAACCAACAAAGTCACTTGTTCACACTGAGACAAGGTTTAACTTTAAAAGGTGCAGGTGGTGGTTTCCCTGTCAGGCTGAAGTACTTAAACTTGGCTGCTGCTGACACTAGGTCTCATGTGTACTTGCTTCCCCCAACACACCGAACTGCAGCCTGTTCGCAGAAGTACACTGAAGAGACTGGAAGCTGTGGGGCTCGCCGGATTGGTTCATGTACCAGAGTCAGACAGTAGACTCAGCACTTGTTAGCCTGTTGGCCTGTAGCCATTACTCCTGATACCTGCAGCCTGTTGACTCTGGAGAGCCTCACTGCTGCAGACTGGTGAAGTTACACCTCTCATATGCTGCTTTCAGGCGTGCACTGTATCCTGGAGAATTCCCCTGGAGTTTCTCCTGCCTGCCCCCCATTAAACACCCTGGAGAAAGTCTGAATGAGCTCACTTGAGAACACAGGAGACTCTCTGGAGGATGCACTGTGAGTTGGTGTGTTGCTCCCCTTTCTGACAGATGCAAAAATGAAAAAAACAAAGCAATAATACAAATGTCAAAAGCGGTGCCGTGCACAGAAAAGACACAGACGAAGATGTCAAGATGGTTTTTGGTGTGAGGGCCAACACTGCTTTAAAAAAACATGTGGTCTCTGCACCACGGCTGAGAACGTCTGAGCGTAGTATCCCCTGCTGCGTTGTTCATGTGTGAAAGAAAACCTCTGGAGAAAGCCTGGACTCAATTCCCAGGACATCCTCCAGATTTTATGTTTGAAAATGGCTTTAGTATCTGTTAGTGTTAATAATCATTAAGTTGTTTTTTACTTCATGTAATACTTTAAATACTTACATTTAGATGTCTGCGCATAGTATATACTGAGTGAAAATATCATGGCACTAGATCTGACTTAACTTTTACTAAACAGCAGCCAAAAAGAAAAAACTTAGCATTAACAGTAAGGGTCAATGAACTGACATATCCATGTTAGATTCTGGTGCTTTCTGATAGTTCAACATGCAGAACTGATTTACTGACGCTCATTCATTGACTGCCACAGTGAACTGAATGCAGTTCACACCGTAACCTGCCTGCACCACAACAGGTTGAGTGTCTCACACTGGCTGGGGACCACAGGTTTCTATTAGAATGTGACATGCAAGTTCATCGTAACACTCACAAAGTTTTCCCCTCACCAGAATCTCACCATAATGTGCTTGTGCAGCAACTGCCGTAGCAAACAGGAAGCCGTGTGCCACCACAGGTGTTTACTCTCGAACCATATGCAGGGAATTTGTACCTGCAGATCTCACTGACAGTTTTCAGTTTAATCCTGGTTCTCATCGCTGCCAAAACACACTCAACTCTGGGATGACAAGTTACAGAGGTGGCAGTAGATAAAAGCACATGGGTTCCCACTCTTTTAATGAAATCAGTTTCCAGGACTTTGCAGGAGTTTTTCCTGCCAATCAGGACAGGAATTGGTCAAAAATGGTAATATAACTCCTAAAAATCCTCCTTTTTAAGAATGGGTTTATGATTAAGTGTCTTAATTACTGGTAATGGATACATCCATCACTGCTGATTGTACAATAACCTACACAATAAGAATAATACTTGCATTACTTATACTAATACGCTTATATGCATGTCCCTTATATGAACTTTGACAAAAATGGCCTTGCTCTACCTCTATAACAATATTAAATTATTGTAAGTGACAGAAATAAGGTTCACTGTAAGGTGCATGTTGTTGTCAAAGCTTTGTTATAATAGGTAATATTGAAATGGGCTAGGTTTTCCAGGATTCCAGTAATAGCATTACATTTAGAAAGCGTGGCCACCAATGACTCAGGTACTATACATACAGTACAAGGGCATACATCTGCAAAAAGCTGAAAATTAATAGCTTTTGGCGGTAGCATAGAGACGCTATTTTACAGAGTATAAGATGCCTTTCAGATTCTGGCATGGTATAATTGCCACAGCACTGAGGACACTTTCTGCATCAGACAGGGATGTAAAATTCAAGCCAAAGGGCACAGAAAACGTTCCTCTGCTGTCCACATCTCTCAGGTCCTGCCATGGTTGAGTTTTATGTGGAGGATCATTTATAGGTAAATGTTTGTGGAATGCATACCTGCAGGTCCTTGCGAGATGAAAAAAAAAGAAAAAAAAAGAAAAAAAAAGTAAATGAACACAGTTCCTGACAGACGGGTACTGTGAGGGGTGACAGGGCTGTCAGGTTGCCCACATCCGCTCAGACTCTGCTGAAACCTTTAATTCACCACCAACGTTTTCTTTGGCACTTTCTATGACAGAGGTAATTAGGGGTCAATGCTGCCTATTTTATAACTATAGTTTCTACTGTTCAACTGTGGAAAACCCATTACTAGAATATACTGTGCATTCACTCAGTGAAGTAAAGTTTTGTGGTACTTATACTTTACTAAGTGAATCCATTTTATTATATTTTTCATTTGTACTTGGCTGCCTTTCAAATGTAAGTATTGTTGTTTTTACTCCTCTTACAATTTACAAAACTCAAAATATAATCAACAAATAAGTAAATCAAGCTCCACAGAACAAGCCGGTCACAGCATCCTTAACTTTATCAGATGGAACAGTACTGTACATCAATAATCATATTGCAGAAATATAATTTATATTAATTAGCTCTTTCACCTTATTTGTACTTTGAGTACATGCGGTTTAGTTTTGAAACCATCACATGTAACAGAGCACCACTGGTGGAGATTTCTACGTTTACTTTAGTAAAGGATTTGAATCCCTCCATCGTGAGAAAATAATTCCCACGTGATTGTAAACAATGCTCCTACTGTCTGATATTTGGAGGAAAAATCACAGCTGATGTCACGTTTTCTCATTTAATGTTTGTTCTCCACCACAGTTCACATGTGAACCACTGCCCGAGGGGAAAGTGGATTAGATCTGAGTTCAACACTTTGTGCATGTTAGGAAATGAAAGTAGAGTTCAGACCTCCACCAAGTCCCAACAGTCCCCATATGAATCCACATTTAAATTCACTAGATCCAGATTTAATTTGGATCTGCACCAAATTGCTCATAAATATCAGTTCCCCAAACATTATCTGTAGATCCATGAATTATTCTCTGAAAAATCAACAAAAATGTTGAACGCACTCTATCTCGCAATGTTAAAGAAATCCACCCCTGATTAGGATCTGCACCAAAATTGGCTTCTTTCTTCCCTGACACATAAGCATCCTGACACCAAGTTTTGTGGTAATCCATCCAGTAGCTTCAGTGTTATCTTGCCTAGAAACAGACAAACACATAATCTCCTCATTGGAGGCAAAAATTTGAGATGATCAGCATCATCTTTTTATATCCATGATTAAACATCTTTATAGCTGCAACTATTCATCAAGCAATCAATCTGCCAATCATTTTCTAGATTATTGATATATAATTTTGTATATATTCATATTGATAAAAAAACATATATACTCAAACAGCAGAGAAAGGCAAACAATTCTGATATGTGAGTCTGCAACCAGCAAAGGTTTTATCATTTTTAACAGCACGACATTTTTCATGCGTTCTTTCTCAACCGATACAGCATCCATCCACCTAGTTTCTTGATAATCCATCCAGTAGTTTTGTAATCCTGCTAACTGACAGACTGACAGACCGACATACAAACGCAGATTTGAACATAACCAAAAACCTAGGTATTATTATTATACATGGTTGTTGTGTGCAGTGAAGGCTGAGTATCCCTGCTGCTGGGGGTGATAGGGATTTGCAACTGAGACCAAACTGAGCTTGTTATCTGAGCCCAATTTAGAAATACTTGAGTATTTCACATTAGTGGACTAGAAGCCAACAATGAGTCAGAGTCTGGGGACAACCACACTAAATGTTTACAACACTTTAACCTGGACCTCCTTCTAGGGTTAAATAAACTTCACCTGCTCACGAGAGCGTTTGGTGTCTTACACCAGGCAGCTGTAACCCTACCATCACAATCCTTGTTGTTATCCAGCCGCACAAAGGGAGCGCTACTTCGCAGATACCACTGAGAGGGCTGTTTAAACCCTTTCTCTGTGATATGACAACAGAACGTGAATTATCTGTCAACAGTGTAGGTGGTCAGCAGGGGGGAGTTCAGGTCCCACTGTTCGAACGGCACAGGAGCATTGAGTTATGTTTACAATGGCTGTAAATCACCCCATATGGCCAATGGGCTGTTGCAGTGCTCCACACAATGGCCACATAAACACCACAGTGTGATTACACGAGCACACAACAGAGACGCACATAAGAGCATCAACACTGAAAATGGTGCACACATATTACATAATTGATACTCCTCTAACAGTCAGGAGCCCCCATCCATTTGTCCACTTAGAAAAGCCCAAGTGAATAGTGTCCCTTTAAAACACTGAACTATATATAAACACACAGACATATTCACTTTAGTCACGCATGCACTGCACACACACATGCATGCACTGCACGCACAGACACACACACAGACACACACACACACACACAGGTATTTACTGGATCTATGAGCAGCATGACAGCCGTACATACCTCACTTTGTGGTCCTCGGCTGTCTCTCTCTATCTGTGTCTCAGCTCTGCTGCTCTCATCTCTCTCTCACACATACACACAGAGCAGTGTGTCTGTATCTGACAGATTTCTCTCTGCTCAGTTCCCTCCTCTCTCTCTCTCCTCTCTCTCTCTCTGGCAGGCACACACTCAAAAACAGCCTCCCTCCCTCCTTCCTTTCTTTCTTCCCTCTCCTGCCAAATAGCCCCTCTCTCGCTCTCTCTCTCTCTGTGTTGTGAAGCAGTGGGAAAGCCATAAACCAAAGCCACGCCCCCCGCACCCCCACACGCTCTCTCCTCTCCTCTGGGCGGCTATAAATACCGCTGCTGCTATGAATACACCGCCTTTCTCCCTCAGCATCCCTCGCTCACGCTCTCTCCCTCCATCCATCGCTCGCCTGCACTGCCCTCCCTCCATCGCCCCATCCCTTTCTCTCTGGAAATGCTTTTTCTTCGTGATGACCTTGCATTATTCGCCCTTACAACACCATCACATGACAGGGATCCTTTCTCCTCACTCACACGCAAGCACTCGTGCAAGATGCAACCTTTTCCACACACACACACACACACATATAGATCATGTATATGAGAGACATCCAGCAGCCTTGTACACTCACATACACACACACACACACACACAGGTGTAAAAGATGCACCGAAGCACAATAGTGTTTTGTAACATCCGTCTGCTGTGCTTCCTGTCTCTTGTGCCGGATGTGGTGCACGTTTTCTCCCTACCAGCTTCGAAAAAACACACGCTGACAGAGATACGCATCAACGGCAGATAACGTTGGACTTCATATATGAATTCTTCTCGTGTCACTTGTTTTACCACCTGCTCGAGCGGGAGTCAGTCTGTGTGCATGTAGTTAATGTTCGAAGGATGTATCTGCAGTAAGCTACTCACAAGAAAACGAGTGTCTTTCCTTCAGGATCCTTCATCTCTTCTCTCCATTCTTTCTGTTCATTGTGCGTTGAACTCATCAGACACTGAGGTTGATTTATCACACTGAGTGCAGTGCAGTTAACACGCTGCATGACTAATGAATCAAAGATAAACCCCGTGTTTTGTTGTCTTCTCTCAGTTTTTCTTACACTACCACCTACAATACATTCAGCCTGCCGGCTTAAATTCACCTGCTTGGACAGCGTGGACCGCGTACATCAGGTATCGGAAGACATTAGGCAGCATCATGTCTGCTCTTGCTCACTGGCAGCAATATTATCTGGGAATGAGGTTAGTAACATCTGGTGCAGGCGTGCTATGAGCACCCAGGGTGCACTTAAAGAGAATCAAATCTTCGCCCGCAGGCTTTATAGTATGTCATGGACGTAATTAATCCTCGGATTGCACCACCACCGCAGCTTGAGCTGTAACGTAATAAAGGAAAATGCAAAAAAAAGGTGAGCGGCACAAAGACAAAGGGAAGCATTCCACCTGACTGGGTCATTTCTGTAATCGGGCCCCTATGATCATGGCAGTTATAGAACACCACAGGGTGAATAGGGGAATATATGCATTACCATGTAAGGTAGCACAGCGCTGTGTGGACTGTCAGTAGCTTGCAAGATGCTTCTATGAGTCATGTTTATGTTATAAAGGTCTAATTAAGTATTGATTGCATCATCAACTATTTTGTATTTCAAAGACAAAAACAGACATGTTGAATGTTACAGTCAGCCTGAATTGTTTTATTTCCATTTATGTTAAAAGGACTTGATAATGTCTTACCCAAAGTCTTTGATGCACAGCAGGAAATTATGAGTCACCAGCTCAGAATCACTATGAGTTTGAGGTTGTGTGTGTGTGTGTGTTAGATAAAGTGTTTGGGTGAATGATTGCATTGTTGATTGCCAAACTGAAACCACAAGTTCACTCGAGAAGATGTTCATATGCATGTGCGGGTAAGTTGTTAAGTTGTTTCCGCTTTGACTACGGCAGCGCGAGGGCCGCTTTCAGGTCGCCTGCCGTGTGTGAGTGTCTCTTCAGAGAGTGCGTGAGGGCTTCGTGCAACTCCTCATGGGTGACCAGGTTGAGGCGCAGCAGAGAGTCAATGAGCTGAGAGCGAGCATTGCCGATGAAGGAGTGCGACAAGAAGGATCCGAGGCCCCCCCCGCGTTTCATGGTATAGAGTGGGACTCTGACCATTCCCAGAACCTGGGGGGGCAAGTGAGTGAGAGAGAGAGAGAGAGAGAGAGAGAGAGAGAGAGAGAGAGAGAGAGAGAGAGAGAGA